CCTTGAAAGGGAAATGGTTCTTCTATGGCATCGCTTGAAGAACCTTTTGAAGCACCTTTTTTTTTAAGAGTGTAGTCACAGCATAAGCAACGGCCAATGAACAATAAATATAACATAACATTACAAACAAATGCTATTTTACAGCGTTATATGTTTAACTGTGACTATGTTAAGATTCATTTTAATATGCCAATAAAAATACTGCAGACTTTCTCCGGATCTAATAACTTTATTAAAATTAAGCAAAACAAAATGAGAAATGTTTACTTTCAAGAGCCGTCAAGTATTTGCGAGAGCGATTTTATAGATTGCAGGCTTCCGTACACCGGCCGGCCGCAGTGTCTTCTGGGATTTCTAATGGCTCGAGGTCTGCACTCAATGCATCCTCGATATCTTTGACCAGCGGGTGTCATCAGAATTCGATGTTTCGAAGGTTTTCAATACTGTATATTCCACTCCGTGCATTTATTTTATTTTATTTTATTTTTTGGAAGATAAAATACAAATTAGCAAACCAAATTGTGTCTGAAAACAAAAACCTGTCTGAACCACTGATCTATATAATGACTGTTACATTAGGGGAGGGGCCACTCAAAGGGGAGGGGCCATTCAAATATTTGCAGCACCCAATTCTCTCAAGTTTTCACTAACAGTTCAATTTTACCTATTGTTCATAATTGACCTGAACAAATAGAAATGATAACAACTGGTAAATCTGATTTTTTTAAAAAAAGACAAATTCATCCAAATAAAATAAATAGGTTTATGTATTTTAAAAATACAAATGTATCAAAAATAAAAAGAAATTTGGCCACAAACGAGCCAGCTGAATAGCAGTATTCAATGTACGTACTGTACACATACAGTAGGGTTGCAGAACTTGCCCTGCGGATGTATGTTACTCTGTGTGTGTGTGTGTGTGTGTGTGTGAGAGAGAGAGAGAGAGAGAGAGAGAGCCCTTTTTAGCTTATGAATGTTTTTTTTTCTGTTGTAAGTGTTTGTTGCACATTTTGACGTCTTGATGACGGGGATAGGGGGGTCCCACTTAAAGCACTGTGGCTCTAAGCCAGCCATTTTCACAGTCATGATAGATGATAGCGTTCTGTCCAGAGCCAAACTGTTCCTAGCTTTGGTTTTGTTCAAACCCACCATGGAGAACACTCTCTGCATCTGCATTTGAGTGGGGAAGCCACAGTGCTTTAAGTGGGAGCCCTCTACCCCTGTCATCCAGGCATCAAAATGTGCAACAAACACTTACAACGGACAGAAAAAAAAACATTCATAAGCTGAAATGTGTACTCTCTCTCTCTCTCACACACACACAGCTTGACATAGGCCTACATGCTTAGGGCAAGTTCTGCAATCCTACTGTATGTGTACAGTATGTACATTGAGCACTGATGTTCAATTGGCTCGTTTGGGGCCAATATATAAAACATAAAATATATCAAATATAAATATATAAAACATTTTATTTTATTTGGATGAATTTGTCTGTCTTTTATCAGATTTACCCATTGTTGTAACATCGCTAGTACTTTCCTTAGTTTCTGGGAGCCAAAGCGAAGTTAAAGCTTCTGGTTGCAAAGCAGCTGGAGAGTTTTTGACTGCATCAATAGTAATTTATCACGAATTTGACTATATTCCACAACATCAGATCTCACTTTCTTTGATCACAGGCAAGTGATTTCGTCCAGGATATACACAAGTTTCACAATTTGAGTTGAATTACTGAAATAAATGAACTTTTCCACGACATTCTAATTTATTGAGATGCACCTGTGTGTGCATATATATACGTGTGTGTGTGTCCACCATAAAGATCTAAAAGATCTTCCTCTAACATACCTCAGTAAAGCAAACAAACTGACCTCTAAAATAATAATAATATAAAAAAGAAATTCCATGATTAAATATGACTTGATTAAGATAAGAAATTACACTAAATAAGCGATTTTGGATCAAATCCATCTGACTTTTATCACAGAAAGTGTTTACCCACAATCCCTCACTACCGGAAGTACCGGACACTGGAAGGCCGGGGAAACGGTCCACCCATTACCATCGGGAGAACATGGATTGCTGCTAAATTGTGGATATATACGATTACAGCAAGAGTCGTGTCTAGGTATTATAATCATTGTGGATTATTGTGTTTAATGATGTGTTTGCATTGAAGCGTCATCCTCTGTAGGGCGTGCAGCTCGCGCTTCTGTTCAGTGATGTTGAAATCATTAAATCGGGCAATGTTTTCCTCAGCATATCTGTGTTATCAGACGCTGACAGTGTTTTTGTCTGCTGTAAATAGTCACTGGCTTATGCATTTGGACTGCACTGATCATATGATCACGCCGCGCAACTGATCTGATGCTGATTTACTTGCTTTGATCGCTTCGGTGTGCTGGTTCCCATAGAAACGCTTCAGATGAAACGCATTGCAATCACTGATCTATAATAGAGATCATTATATAGATCACTGATCTATAATAGAGATCATTATATAGATCAGTGATCGCAATACTAGCATTCAGGTGACTAGAGAGGTGTGGGTACTCTTTACTGTAGTCTGACTGCCAAAAAAGTGGTTTGATATTATTGTTACCTTTTACATTTTTGCTCTAATGACGTATTTTATGTTTTATAATTGTTTTGACTTTTGAATTTAGTCGAAAAGCCTATAATAGGCCGTTTAATATGATGTTCTATTGTGACAACTTACCCCGTATAGTGTGACAACATGCCCCTCTATTGGAGTCAGTGAAATGTATGTTTGTTTATAAAGACGTAGACTTACCCTGAGGAATTTGTAGTGCTGTAAAATGTGTGACAACTAGCCCCAGTCTCCCTCTGTTTGTCTAGCCTGTCAGTTCATATACCACATGATGGGAGGCTGGAGTGTGTTTGTGACCTGCTGTGTTTGGGCGATTCTTCTCCTGGCTCTGTTTGGGGATTCACTGGCATCTGCGCCTGAGTTTGATCCCTACAAAGTGCTCGGAGTGTCCAGACATGACAGCCAGGCCGAAATCAAGAAAGCCTACAAGAGGCTCGCGAGAGAATGGTGAGTGATGAATAAGAGAGCAACAGAGATCACTGGGCCATAGACGTGCACTCTCTAAATAAGAATAGGGCCCAATCCCAATTCTATTTTATACCCCTTCCCCTACCCCTCCGCCTACCCCTTCCCCTTGTCCCTTGAAACAGAGTGTCAAGGGGTAGGGGTGAAAATATTCCCCTAAGAATTGGGACACCACTACTATACGTCACACGTCATCATACGTTTTCTAGCTCCTACAGTACACACACCTATACTGCTGTGCAATAGAGCCTTTAATTACCGTTCTATATTAATGCGCTGCTTACTGACACACACACATCAGATATCGCGCAGCTCACACATCCAGGAGCAAAGAAACTTGTCAATGCTGCCCCACGACTTTTATTAATAACAGTTTAAATACTGAATTGCTCGTTATATTTTCCAGCAACTAGAGGATAAAATCGCTGTTTTTGAAGTAAACTCACTCTGAAAAGAGAAACACGCTTACACCAAGCCGCAACCTCCCCCTCTCTGTTTACACGACAACGGCGTTTTGGGGACTGAAAACGCATATTTTTGAAAACGGGTTTCAAAGTGGAAGTTTTTGAAAACGGCACCGTTATCGTTTCTGTGTAAACACCCAATCCGGGAATCTTTGAAAACGGTGACATCATGCGCGGAGACACCTCTACCCCTTCACGTGAACGCGCAAAACGGAGGGGTAGGGGAAAGGGCTAATGGGTAGAAATGGGATTGGGCCTAGGATTGCTGTGAATAAGGTTAGGTTTCTTTGTTTCGTCCACAATGTTTAGCTTTCTTCTCTTTGACTATGTCTTCTCTTTAATATAGTGTAATAATTGTGTAACTCTCTCACAATGATGTCCAAATGAAAATGTTTTCACACTTTATCCATAGGCATCCAGACAAAAATAAAAGTCCAGGGGCACAGGACATGTTTATCAAGATCACTAAATCATATGAGGTAGGATGGTTGCGTTGCATATTGGAAATAATGTAAAGAAAGAGCAAAAACTCTTAATTTTTTGCCATTTTTACCTAATACTGTGTGTGTGTGTGTGTGTGTGTGTGTGTGTGTGTGTGTGTGTGTGTGTGTGTGTGTGTTCGTTCATACACTACCATTCAAAAGTTTGGGATCCGTGTGTTTTTTTTTATTTTTTTTATTATAAAATAACTTTCTTATGCTCACCAAGGCTATATTTATTTGATCAAAAAGACAGTAATATTTTAAACTGTTGTAATATTTCACAATAACTGTTTTCTATTTGAATACATTTAAACATTTAATATATTCCTGTGATCAAAGCTGAATTTTCAGCATCATTGTTTTGTGCTCCAGGGTCACAAATGTCAGGTTCGACTTAACATGGACTGTCAATTAAACATTCATATAAATGCAGCTAAAAAGAGTTCATTATTGAAGTTTTATTTGCTTTTCCTTCACTTTTCCCTTTTCCTTATCCCTTTCCATTCTTTTTCACTCTCCTTTTCCATTTCCTTTCTCTTCTTTTCCTCTTTCCTTCCCCTTTTCCTTCCTTCTCTTTTATGCTTTATTTTTCCCTTCATGCTCATTTTCCCTCCCTTTCCCTTTGTCCCCTTTTACCTTTTCTTTTCACTTCATGTTCCTACTTCATCCTTCCTCCTCCCACTTTCCTTCTCTTTTCCCTTTCCTTATGTCTTTCTGTTCCATTACCATTTCCTTTCCTTTCCCTTTTCTCATTTCCTTCCTTCCTATTCCTGTACCTTCCCACTTTTCCCTCTTTTTTCCCTTTTCCTCATCCTTTTTTGTTCCTTTTTCTCTTCTCTTTTTCCCTCTCCCTTTCCCTTTTCCTTTCTTTTCCCCCATTCCCTTTGTCTCTTTTATTCCCTTGCCGTTCTTTTCCATTCCCTTTCCTTGCCCCCCTTTCCCTCTTTCTTTCCTTCTTTATTCTTTTGTTTTAGGTGACAGATAACAGCTACCTCGGGTTTTTAAACAGTTGGCATGAGGAGAATAAGCCAAGAGTGCTAATGTTTGATGTAGCATCTAATATCCCTTTTTTGTACAAGGTGAGTGTTCCTTATATTAGCTGTTCAAACAGTCTGTCATTAAAATCTGTGTTCTTGACACAAGTTGTTATATTCTCTTGTTCGCAGCTCACAGCGTTTGCCTATAAAGACTATGTACGGTTTGGCTATGTGGACATGGGCCTGACTGAGACCTCTAAAGTCGTGCAGAGGTTTAGCATCAACACATACGCTCCCACCATGCTCCTGTTCAAAGAGAACACAGACAAACCTGCTGATGTTATGCAGGTGAGGCCCAGCTCTCCATTTGCATACATCTAACTGTAGTTTTTCTCAAAAGCTGTTGTGTTTTTGGTAGACGAGTCCTTTTTTGTTTTCTTCTCTAGGCAAGAGGGATGAAAAAGCAGATAATTGACGAGTTTGTGTCCAATAATCGTTTCCTTCTGGTGCCGCGGCTGGTGAATCAGAAACTCTTCGATGAGCTGTGTCCAGTTAAACAGTTCCACCGTCGCAGGAAGTAAGAAATCTCACCTCTAACTGTAGCATTGGGTGTCGGTGGACTTACTGTATGTCTCTGAGAAAACTTAGGAGCCGTTTGCACGACAACGTTTTCAGCCAAATTGCTGCTCAAGAAACATTTATTATTATTATCAATGTTGAAAACAGTTTCATATTATAGAACTTTAATATCTTCATATCTTAATATTTTCTGGAAACTGTGATACTTTTTTAAAGATTCTTTGCTAAATAGTTAAAAAAAAAACTGCATTTATTTGAAATATAATTTTTTGTTTGTAACATTATAAAGTTCTTTACTGTCTTACTGAACTTTTGAATGCTAGTATATGTATGTGCACAAAATATCTGCTATAAAATGGCAAAAATTATAATGTATAATTACTCGCATGCAATGAATTGTAAATAAAAATTGATGTTTATTTATTTATATAGAAAATATTGTATTGTATTATACCACTATTGTCACAAATGTTGTATTTTATACAAAAATTTTAATGAAATATTTATCTAAAATTTATAGCATGTGAGTGGTTACAATTGAAGGTTTTTTATTGCGTAAATTTGGCAAATCGCCAATATTTCCTAGTAAATGTATGTTTACACTCTCACAAATGTTAATAAATATCTGCTCATTATAAAGACTTGTTTAAGGGTTTACATGCAAGAAATCAATGACACAACTTGTGGCATTATTTTTGACAAACATTTGGACACACATGAGGCACTTTTGATTTTGGCGCCACTCTTCTGTGAATACAAAAAAAGAGGAAGTTCGATCGGTAGTTTTAACAGAAGCCCTGGAACTGTCAAACGTCTGCTGGAAGAAGCAAAACAAAACATTTTTGCATCATCTGACAGACTTCTACTGACAGACACACAGGGATATTTGTGTGCAGGTAGCACGGAGCAAAAGTACACATCATTCATTTACATATACCAGTACTGACATTGTAACAGTACAAAGCTGGTTGGAAATTTGCAAACTGGAGGAATTGGTGTAAGATGCATGTGAACATTTGAATATGTCTTCAGTAATAAGCATGCATATTGAACTGCATGTGATTTACTTTCCATAGATTCTTTCTAATGAGGAGAGAAGGGCAAACTATGACCGGTTTGGTCAAATGGACGAGAATCAAAACTTTGCCCGAGCACCACAGGGCTTCAGACATTATCAGGACAGCTTCTACTTCGATGAGTCTTTCTTTCACTTCCCTCGGACGAGTCGTGATTTCACAGACAGCAAGCACCACCTTCACTACAACCAGTACATCAGTGAGGTGCTGCCGGACAGTTTCAAGAGACCCTACCTGATCAAGATCACGTCAGAGTGGTGCTTCACCTGCATCCATATTGAGCCTGTATGGAAGGACACTGTGCTAGATCTGGAGCCGTTGGGTAGGTTCTTCAGGATCTTCACCCTCACAGTTAATTCCAGTCGAATTGGGTGATATTCTAATAAGCATACAATGCCATAGCATGTAAAAATTGGGCAAATTAATCTATATCATACGACAATATTTTCAATTAAATGATGTAATCTGAGTACTGAGATGTTGGTTTGTTTTTAGGGGTTGGTATTGGTGTGGTGGTCATTGGATATGAGAGACAGCTGGCTAACCATCTTGGTGCCCACCGCACACCTTCCATACTTGGTTTAATCAATGGCAAAGTCACTTTCTTCCACTACGCTGTGGTCAGGGAACACTTGAGACAGTTTGTGGAAAGCCTTCTGCCCCAGAAGCTGGTTGAGAAGGTTTGTACTCAGCCAGCCACTTTGAGGTGTATTCTTAATTATATATTTAATTATTAATGACATAATTCTTTTAATTATGAGGTGAATTACACAACAATGGCGGAGTATATGGTACTGTTGTTGCTGCTCAAGAGTTTGCTAGCGCTTTTTCAGCAAAGTGTGGATTTACTTCACCCATATTACAATCAACAGCGGAGACGCATCATATACATCATATAATCTTCACCTCCCTACAGGTACTGTTTACTAACAAGGTGACAGCGCCAACTACTGGCCTGGCATACGTAATACAGCGTTTTTGGCCGTTTTCGCGGATATGTGTAAACGTGAATCGTTTTGAAAACGTTGTGTATACGTGAAACTTTTTTAAAATGCAAGGGAAAAACTTTTCCGTTTTTGACTACACCGTTGTCGTATAAACGTAGACTTAAAGGGTTAGTTCACCCAAAAATGAAAATTCTGTCATTAAGTACTCACCCTCGTGTTGTTTCAAACCCGTAAGACCTTCGTTCTTCTTCGGAACACAATTTAAGATATTTTTGATGAAATATGTGGGCTCTCTGACCCTCCCATAGACAGCAAGGTAACTACCACGTTCAAGGTCCAGAAAAGTACCAAGATGATCCACAAAGTAGTCCGTGTGACATCAGTGGTTCAACTGTAAAGTTACGAAGCTACGAGAATACTTTTTTGCACAAATAAAACAAAAATAACGACTTTATTCCACATTTTCGTCTCTACTGCGTCACTTGTGGACGCTTGTTCACAACAGTATCATGACGTGAGCGTGTGGCGGCGCCGGTGCTGACCCAGATCCGGTGTAATGACGTCATCACGCCGGATCTGGGTCAGCACCGGCGCCGCCACACGCTCGCGTCATGATACTGTTGTGAACACGTGTCCACAAGTGACGCAGTAGAGACGAAAATGTGGAATAAAGTCATTATTTTTAATTTATTTTTCATTTATGAGTAATTAATGACAGAATTTTCATTTTTGGGAGAACTAACCCTTTAATCATCTCCCTGTCTTTCTGATTGACAGGTACTGTGTTCTTCTCGTTACTGGTGAAGGAGAGCAGTTTGTGTCAGTGAATGAGGCATTCTTTGACTTCGCTTCTTCCAACACTAAAGAAGTTCTCAGGTTTGCTTATGTTTATCAGAGACAACAGCAGCCTCTCTGTGACACCCTGCTCAAAAAGGAAGACACAACCCCTCCACAGGTCAGAGAGATTCGTGTGCTAATACACACACTCAATTTAGTCACTTTCTTTGATGCCATATGAATTTATACTTCTTCTGCATATGACTTCAGGTGATTCTCCTGGAGAGACGCAGCGCTACAGGAAGGGTGCTGTATCGGACAGTGACGGGTGGATGGAATGGGAGTGATGATGATAAGCACCGCCTCCATGAGCAGCTTGAGATTCTGCAAAGAGATCCCTCCCACCTTACCCATGATGCCATGCTGCCTGAACTCAACAATGAGTTTGCCTCTGTAAGTCATGCAGAGGGTAGTGAAGGGCTAAGATTGTCTTTAAGACTTCCAAAACATATTTGAATGAATGCATTGTTAAACCTCAAAATTGATTACATGAAGGTCTAAGTGGCAATAAGAGAAATAATTAACAGTAATAGCGTATTTTTTTTATTATTATTGTTATTTCAGATGTTTCTGATTCATTGGATAAATACTGCATATGATTACCTCGCTCAGTTTTACTTTGATCTTCTCTACTCTAACTGGTGAGTACAATCACAAAGTGTTCATGGTCCTGTTTGCATGCAGTTTCCTAGCTCTTTTCCACCAGAATGGTTTGCGTTCTAGAGCCAGAGCAAAATCTTGGCCAGTGCTCGACCAGGCAAACTGGATCCTGTTGCAAACCAGCCACATTTTTCCACAGATTTGAGAAATTGCTATTTGTTGTTTACCTGACTAAAACCAGTCTAAAACAAACCGTTATGGAAACACGTAGAATGAAAAAGTACGTGTGGTCTATTGTGATCAATCAGAAATTAAAGCAACATTAGCAGCACTTGGCTTTTGGGTCATGCTGTCACTGCATCTTAAATTGAAAACTGTATAGTGCTACATTTGGTTTGAAACTTACCTCGACCATTAAAACAGCTTGTTTTGTGTAGTTAGAAAGAAATTTAGACGTACGTGTCATGTGGCCTACAGTGTGATTTGCGTTGCTTCACTACCATTCGCAAATCCTCTCCCTTGGCCTTATGGGATAGTGAAGTCTCCAATAGTCCAATCAGAACTTTTCACCTACTGCTTTATAAAAACTAGTTTATAAAAAAAAAAATAGGACCTGTTCTAATTTGGAATTAGATTTTTAAAATAGAACTGGAACTGCATGATGTTAACAAATCAAAGACGCAACGCGGAGTGTTCGTTACACCCTGGGTGTGCATTATTTTCTAATAATTCAACGGACTGGAATCAATTATTCCACTTGTACTACGGTTACTTACCACACCTCAAAAATGTGTTCAGATGTTGTATTTGAAGACATTCATCGGGTTTTTGCCCTTAACACTCTCTTGCATCTGGGACTAACTTCTGAAGCATCTCAATCGCAGCTTCCGTTGTTAATTCCAAAACGTAATTTTAGACATAGTAACGGAACCTAGAGCCACTGATAGCAGACTAATGCAGTTATTAATTAAGTTCTTAGAGAGAGAGCGTGAGAGAGATATTAAAGCGTGTGTGAATTACCTGAGTCTGTGCGTCTCTCAACTGTGTTCGGCAGCAGCGTCTCTACTAATAGTGAAACTGTCAATTCATCTGCTTCAAGAACAGTGCCGTTGTTACCTCCTCGCTAGTGAGAATTGTCATGTAGCTTTCAAGCTGCTAAACTGCTGATAAAATCATCAGACAACATTTATTTGCGAGTGTGTGTGTGTCTGTGCTGTATGTATGTGCGTTTACAGACAAAGCATTCAGCAGCTCTGTTGTATAATATTAAAATATCTGCAATAGACTATAAAGATTATAAAAGAGGCTGAAAAAGTGCCAAAGCTGTACATTGTGTGCAAAAATGTTTTAAATGGGATTGACAACAAATAATATCAGACTAAATGATAATGACATTTGTCGATGTCTGTTTTCAGGTTTATTTTTTGATTTACTGATTAGCAGCCCTACAATTTCTTTTTATAAATGACAAACTTAAGACCACCCTGTTATGTCATGTTCTGCTTCCCCCAGGCGTGAGATGATGCCCGTACTGTCTCTGATCTTCTCCGCTCTTTTCATTCTGTTCGGGACTGTAATCATTCAGGCCTTCAGGTAGAACAGATTTTGTTATATGAAAGTGCTTTTGTAAGGAGAGGTTTTTGTTTATTGATTGATTGATTGATTGAACGAACAGCGATGCTGGGGAAGACAAACCAGCCAAACAAAAGGCCACTGATCCACCAAAGACAGCAGAGAGCTCTCCAGGACAAGAAAGCACTTCAAGGTAAGACACTGCTTGCTTGAGAATAAAATATAATAACAGCATGTCAAATAGAGATTTTGAGATCACAGATGTGTTTAGATGTTCATTAGCTGAATCGCTAACAGTTGGTTTCCTGTTACAGTCGTCCACCAAAGAAGAATTTTGTGGAGGTAACGGAGCTGACGGACATCACATACATGAGTAACCTAGTCAGGTTAAAGCCTGGTCACATCAACGTTGTGCTGATCCTCACTGATGCTTCTAAGCAAGTACTGCTCAGGAAGTTTGCCAAAGAAGTGTATTCGTTCTCAGGGTGAGGCCTGCGTATGTGTTTGAGAGAATGCTAAAACCGGTTTCTGGAGACCTTCTTACAGAGTTTAGGCTGTCAACCATTTAACTCAAAACTTCCCAACTCAGAAGGCCACTTGAAGCTTAGCACACATGCAAATCAATGCTAGCATTCATCATCTTCCATGAAGCTTTAGACAACTGAACCAAAGTCAAAGATGCTATGTAGACATTTTCCAAATCTGCGATAGTAGTTGTAAGTAGATCTCAGTAGATCCTAGAGAACATTGGCACCAAAGGTTTCAATGATCTACATGGGCTTCCAGTGCTTTTAGGAAACGCAGCCTGGGTTCATTTGAAATCATTTGGATTTCAAAAAAGCACAACGGGACCCATTATTCCAAACTTCTAATTGGTCAACATGTGCACAATTAAAAGGTGCATTACTTTCGTAAGCCCTAAGTCCTTGCAATGTGCAATTGAATGCCTGTAAATGGTTTATATTAGTTGCTGAATGGACAAATAACACAAAATAACATTCTGTACTTTAAAACCTGAAATAAATTTGAGTAACTTTTTATTATATTTTTAGATATTTATATGTTGCAGGAGTCCGGCTAGTCATTTATTTTTTACGCTTCCCTCGCACACATCGATATCTTATCTCCTGCACTCAGCAATTCAAAACTGTTCAAAACAGATCTCACAATACTGATTGCAGACCTCAACCGTAAACCCTAGTAATGTATTTATGCATTCCAGACAAAAATCACAATTTTTGACATATAAATTTCCCACTTCTGACATAAAAATGTTAATTCCAAACAACTCAACCCAGAATTCTTCCACCTCCACTGGGAACACCCAATGGAACTTTGTTTGAATAGAATGTCAAACAAAGCTTATAAAACAGGAAGTACCTGTCCTTGATTCTGATTGGTTGAGCCACTTTCGAAGATGTTGTAAATTACTCTACAAACATACACCTCTTTGTTTCTGAATCTGTGTGTTTTTGAGGAACTACATTGTTTGGCGGAAGAATGGTTTTATTAATATCATTACATTTTATTTGCTTCGTTTTATGTTGTGAAACCTTTATACGTGAATGGAATAACTGTTTTATAAAAGCAATAAGCCCCGTGAAGCCGTGGTTTACAGTGAATTTATAACAGCTAAGGGGATTTTAGGCACTCCGCGACGTGCCTCACAGCGCCCCTTAGCTGTTATAAATTCACTGTAAACCACAGCTTCTTGGGGCTTATTGCTTTATTTTTACACTAGGGGTCGGGAGTCTGAACTTGAGTAGCATTCCAGAGGTCATTTACAAGTAAAAGGTTTACAAGTAAAAAAGTTGCGGAGTTCTGATTTCCAGTCATGGTGCTTTCCAGACAACTCAAACTGCTATTCTCTCACTACCACTTGGAAAAACAATGGAGCATCATTTGAATATCGAATGTCCATTTTGTTCCTATTTCCAAATCTGGAAAGTAGCATTACATTACTGGAATTAAACACTGAAAGAAAGCACGTCTCCAGAAGCTGTTATTGAGCATCTTTGCTTTCAACTTAAATCGTGCTACAAATAAATCCAAAGGAAACTATCCTTACTTCCTCCCGCAGGTCTCAGACTCTTCACTACTCCTTTTTAAATGTGGACAAGCACAGCCAATGGATGGATTCCCTCATGGAGTCGGCTCCTGACGCCAGACCGTCAGACTGCTTGGACGAAGAGGAAGACTCCACCTCCAACAAATCAGACTACACGGGCCATGTCCTGGCGCTCAATGGCCACAAGAAATACTTCTGCATATTCAGACCCGTGTTCACAGGGGAGGAAGCCGAATGTAGTAGGTGGTCCGATGAGGATGCGGCGACGGCCGGTCCAAGCAAAGCCACGAGGTCCCGGTCAAGTTCTCGACAGAAGGCCACCACTCTGGAGATCCACCACAAACTGGACCGACTGAGTCTGTGGATGGAGAGGCTTATGGAGGGAACTCTACCACGGCACTATGTTCTGGCCTGGCCTGGTCTGGACACCATAACGCCACAGAAATAAGACTCTTCTCTGTCCTCAGGCCCATTGCAGGAGGCGTGCTTTAGTGATGTGAAAAGTGTTGAATTCTCAACATCTTTTCGATCCAAATTACTTGGTTACTTAAAAGATATTAAGTTATTCTGTAAAACGCACTGGTGATAAGTAGAGGTTTTCGTTAGAGCACCATGTGCTCGTCGGCTGCTTTTAGGGGCAAAACTCCATCTGTAAAGTACACTGTCTTTTTGTTAGTATGGTTGTTTCATTACTGTATGGATGCCAGTGCCCAGATAAAGCCTCTCTGTGTAGCTTCCGGCAGGGCTATCGTGTCTTTACACTGCTGGGAAGGTGGCAGCTACAGTCCACCTTTATAATATCATCCAGGGTCCTGTGAATTCAAGCAACGGGCCAGATTTCAGAAGCAACTCGTATTGAGATTACCGTTCTGCCTTTTTTCCAGTTAGAGTCACTATGTGGATGATAGAAATTTGAAAAAGAGAGTGTCTGTGGAAAAGGTTTAATCATCCTTTTCTCTTTATGCAAAAAGTCCAACTACAAATTTACTAAACCGTGCTGCATGAAAAATCACGTTTTGAAGACTTGAGAAGATACTTGGATTTTACTGCCATTTGTGCATATGCTGCCTTTCCTTAAAGCCCATACTTTCTTTAACGTCATTTGTTTCATGTTTTGCACTTTGACGACTTGCTTATGATTCTTTGATTAATAAACGTAATATTTAAATGGAGGTTCTAACGGCATTAGAATTATCACTACAACTTAAGGTTAAGAATGTCTCTAGATCATCAGTTGCCATTTTCTTTTAGGAAAATGGCATTATTTTTATGTTGCACTTTTTTGTGGTTGATTTATATGTGCATTGTTTAAAAATAATAAAGTTTGTACTGTAGCGACATGTGTTCACTTATATTTATAACTGCATTGACTTTGTTTTTATTCAAAAATAATAATTCAAATCTTTTTTAACATAATTTACATATTTACATACGACATTCCTTAAGACACATTAAACAACACCATTAATCCACATAAACCTTTTTCTATCTACAAGCTACCAAAACTACTAGGTACGAAGTCTTTCTAGAGTCAGTGCTTCAAAACTCGTTCCGAATATTCACTTTCTTCATTTCTAAGTCTTCTGGACCAAAAGATGCAGGCAGCAGTTCTTCGACAGTCATCTCCACATAGGAACCGTCAGGTTTTGACAAATACACGTCCCAGTTTGCACCAAACTGTATAGGTGAAAACAAAAATAACATATAACATGCTGCTTGTAACATGCTGCTTGTTTAATTGATATGAAATACTGTGGTAAATTAAACTTTCCTCTCGCATGAATTGCCTGCAGCCACCACAGGGGAAATGAAGTGCTCACACATATCGCTAAAAGAGCAGGAGACATTACATTGATGCTGTATTATACTAAGAGAGTCTATTATTTCCAAATATGGAGGTAGCTAGAAATGTAATTCAACCACCAGAGGGCCTGTGAATACAGTAGAACTTTACCTTGCAGTAGCAATGGCTTTGAAATCACGGTAGCCCTCTGATACAGCTTTTGAGATGGCAGTTCTCTCAGCACAGAGTCCCAAGTTGAAGCACGAGTTTTCTACATTACAGCCTGGTGTAGAGAAATAATAATACGTTTAAATGAGATTTGCCGAAGTATGTTACATCACACTGTGAACACATAACAAATATTATGTAAGGTACATCTTGTACATGTGTTTTGTACCGATTTGTATTGGCTGGTCTGGAAGGGGCCTGTCATGTCAGGAGCCAAGTTTTTATTTACTTTGTGTGAAGATAAAAACGTCGTCCTCTCTCGTGCCACTGTTGTGTTGCTGCAGTCACTAACAGTATGGTCATTAAACAACAGTAAGTGCTGTTTCACCACAGTTCAAGGCTGTGTCAGTTGTACTGAGAGAGCAATAATCAACTGCATTACTTAATGGAATCAAAGTGTTAGTTAACCAGAGCATCAGCCAGTTCAGACCAACAAAATTGTGTATTGCATTTAAATACCATAAAACCAGTTTTGTTCAGTGTTTATAAGCTACATATAATGTGCATTTTAATAAATTATCCCTTAAGCCAAAAAAAAGTGTATTTTTTCTAGACAAAAAACAGTAGTCAACATTTGAAGTGGATCAAAAAAGTAGGCTGGCATCAAAGTTGTCCTATAAGGCAAGAACACTTTTAGATTTTAAAGGGGTCATATGATGCGATTTCAAGTTTTCCTTTCTCTTTGGAGTGTTACAAGCTGTTCGTGAATAGATAAGATCCCTAAAGTTGCAAAGACTAACGTCTCAAACCCAAAGAGATATTCTTTATAAAAGTTAAGACCTCCTAAAACGCCTCATTCTAACACGCCCCCACGTGTCTACTTCACTGTGTGGGAAGATTTGCATACCGCCGCCCAAATGTTTACGCAAAGAAAGAAGGCGTAACTTTATTGTTGCTGCCACCGCCGCCATGCTGTGAAGATACTGTGTGTTTCGTTGCGAAAGTGAAAATACTTTGTTTGGGCTTCCAAAAGAGGACACGACTAGAAATCAGTGGTTAAGCTTAAACACATTTCATTACACCAAATACACAAAATAATGTTCTTTTTAGCAACATCATATGACCCCTTTAAGACAACTTTGATTAAAGGTTTTGATCCACTTCAAATGCTGACTAGTGTATATTTTAAATATATGTTGTAAACAGTGAAGCTCAATGAAAAGTAGTTATGACATTGAAAATAAATTTACTTTTAACCTTTTAAAAGTATATCATAGGTCATAATATTTTTAAATATTAATACATATATATTTTTACATTTTGTAAAATACATTAAAAAAAACATGGCCAAAGCATAAATTGGTAGAATTTTTTTTATATTAATATATTTACAAAACAAATGTATATATATGTGTGTGTGTGTGTGTGTGTTGTATGTTTTAAAATACATATTTACAAATGGAGAGAGAGAGAGAGAGAGAGAGAGCGAATGCAAAAGTTTTGTGTTCCCCTGGGAAACTTTGCATTTGCTCACAATCAAAAATTGTTTTTTTCATCCACCTCTTATTGTTTACATTACTAAAGATTTTAAGAGCAAACTCAGAGTTACTCAGGGGATTGTAAAGCTTTTGCGTTCTCTAGTAAACGTTTCAAAAGCATTTGAAATTTAATTTTTCCTTTCATCTCATTTTTTTCTCATCTCTATGTCCCTTTACTACCTACTTTAGGGGCTCCATATTGTCACAAAAAAATCATCAGAACCCCAGACGTAGACATGACATTAAGTAGAATTTTACTTGTATATTATCTTAAAGCTTCCACTAAGAAAATAATTCATTAAAATATACAAAACAATTGGTCTAGCAACAAGATGAACATTGCAACAATATTTTAGTAATGGCCTATTAATGTTGAAGTCATCTGAGCGCATTTTTACTACAGTCGATAGTTGAGGTGCAAGATGTTTGAATGAAAAGAGAGGGAGAATCTGCAGTCAGTGTGATACTAGAGATGTGAAAATAGCACCAGTTTCAGTTACCCGGATGATTGGATTGAAATACAGCATTGCCAATAAAGACGTCAAAGATCAGGCAATATTTGACCACAGAATTTCACGAGATTTGAGAGCCGTGAAATAAGCACTCATAAAGTGTGTGTGTTGAGTCTCATTTACGTGTCAGAGGTGTTACCTGCTATTAGTCTTCCTTCTGTTGCCATGTAGTGGTTTAACAAGCCTTTATGTGAATTTGCCAACATCTTTGCTCTCAGAGTGGCAACAAATTGAGTACACAGAGTTCAGCCTTCATACATTATTCATCATTCAGTTCTGAGTGCGTAAACGCTTGTTACAGCAGTTGATGTTTCTTACCCAACCAGCACTGGGAACTGACTGCTGAAACTCTCTGATATTGGTACCTTTACAGTGCATTTCAGGCATTGCCTCACCTGTGAAAACCGTCCCGTCGTGTGTCAGAAGTGCCGCCCCGACTCGGAACTTGCTGTAGAGGCAGTATGCAAATTTCCTGGCCTCGAGGGATTTCCGAATCAAATCTTTCGTTCCAGAGAATTGTTCATTCAACCCATTAAGCTCACGTCTCATCTTTTGATCTCCCATGTTGCTCTGCCGTGTGTGTATTGTGTTTCTGTGGCTCAACAGACTTGCCTGTGACTTTGTTTTTCCAGAGCCGGCATCCAATCCCCTTTTCCCAGATCTCCCACCTCCCTGACATTCTGTGTTTGATGTGTGTGATTCTGTCATGCTGCAAGGTTATGTAATTTCCAGTCAGAGTCGACACAGCAACCTTTCCCTTAGCCACACTGAGAGACAGTGAGGAGGATGAGGTATAAAGGTGACTGACTATATTACAGTGACAATCCCAATGGATTAATGATGAAAAAGCATTTCCTTTTCACAAAAGACAGCTGGAGATGAATAGGCCAACAGCAGTAATAAGCTGGGGAAATATTTGATTTATTATTTTGTAATCTTCTGCCTTGAAATACAAAAAAATGGAATAAAATGGTTTTAAATCAAGATGACCATTAAAGTTTGTTGGAATTTGATTTTACGCCCGGGACAAGCATCAATTTAACCACAAATTCTGGTACAAATATCTAAACATTCTTCAATAAAGATACAGCTACTTAGGAAGCAAAATTACTTAAGATATTAAGTCTTGTTTGCTGAAAAATTTATCAAAATTTCAGTTTTTGATAAAAAATAAATAAAATAAAAAAATCTGCCAATGCAATATAACAAAGAGTGAAAAATTTAAGGGGGTCTGAATACTTTCCGTACCCACTGTATATATATAAACTCTCAAGTAAATGTATCTATATTCACGAATGTTTAGATATTTGTACTAGAATTTGTGGTTAAATTTATGTTTTTACTGGCGTAAAATCAAGACAAAAATATTAAGAAAATCTTTTTGTTTTGTTTTTTGCGGTGTGATATCCAAAACCTGCTCTGCTCTTTCTTTCATTCATAAATTGAGCATCCTTGTTTGAGAACGTAAAAGAATAAAACAAGTTTCAATGCTGGTATTTATCTTATCTAACCGACACTGACTGCCATACTCAGTATACTGGGTCTTTTTGACCGTCTGGTGTCATTTCTATGGCGTGGCAGTTCGATAACCTTTGGAAAAGGAACATTCTAGCTGGTGCTGTCATTGTCGATTATCCAGTTGATCCAAGAGACGTAGTTGCGGACTTTGGTGTAGACTCCTGGGAAATGCTTGTTGGCACAACTGATGCCCCAGGACACGATCCCCTCAAAATAACCATTACAGATGAGAGGCCCACCAGAGTCGCCCTGCAGCCAAACAACCACAGGATCACATAGTGCTAAGTGTTCTATGATGCTGTTTGCTTAATTAAAAATATAGTGTGTATGCATATCGTCTCTTTTCCTCTCTGTGTTTTGGGTTTCAGAATAAAAACCCTGCTGCTCGGATTCACCTGGCAGGAGTCTTTGCCGCCCAGCGGGGAGCCGGCGCACACCATGTTGTTTGTGATTCTGTAGTAGTAGTAGTATTGACACTGAGGGATGATCTGGACGTCCACAGCACGCAGGACGGGGGACAGGTAATAACTGTAGACCTGAGTGACGCCCCAGCCGCTCACCGTGCAAACTGTGCCCCCTTGTAAGGGAGCGAGTGAGGTTGGCAGCACAGCCGGCTGAATGTTGGCATTGAGCTCTGCAGGCTTTTCCAGCTAATGCACAAATCCAACAATGAATGGAAATTAAAAATATTATCAATTGCATTTTTAAATGTTGATAATATTATATATTATTGATAATTCAACTTTGATAATAATCAGAAATGTTTCTTGAGCAGCAAATCAGCATATTAGATTGATTTCTAAAGAATCATGTGT